AGAGAATTCCACCCACTCCCTGTAGCACCTTCTCACCTTCCCACTCTCTAGGATGGAGATTTTAAAATGACATGTAAATGTGGCACATGCTGGCTAACATGTGTGCTTCCATTCTGATTGGTTTATTGTTCCTACTCAGTTATCTACTCAGTTTAATCATCATGGAGCTCAATAAACACCTTAATTATATTACACATCAAATTCTGGAACTCCTGAGTTGAATAAGACCTCTTTAAGTGGTTCTCACTCTAGTGCAATGATTCAAAACCAAGGGGGTGGGAGAGGTTTTGCCACCCAGGGGTCATTTGGCAAATGTCTAGAGATATTTTTGTTTGTCACCATTTCGGAGGGTGATGCTACCATCTTCTAGTGGTTAGAGGCCAGGGGTGCTGTGAAACATTCTATAATGTACAGTCATCCCTGCACAACAAAGAATTATCTGGCCCCAAATGTCAATGGTGCTGAGGTTCAGAAACCTGCTCTAGCAGAAGAAGCACACATTGAACAAATGCTTATATTATGCTGGGGTATGTGCAAATTATATGGAAGTACAGGGTCTGAAAGCAAGTATGTGGAAGGGGAATCTGGAGCGGGGAAGGGGTGTGGTAGGCATCAGGGAAGGTGCATGGTGAAGTGACTCCTAGTCATAGTTTTTACTCAATACTTTTGCAACCAACCATCCAAGAATGACTTTTAGTGGAAGTTTGTTAGTCAAGAACTATGTATTGGGATTTTTTTTTTCTTTTTGCACAACCCTCTGAGTAACTTAATCAAATATTTCTGATGGCTTTATGTCTTCCCTTAAAAAAAAATTTCCCCCAAATCCTGGGAGAGACATGAAGAGGGAAGAATTCATTCAACCTATTCCTTGCTTCTCAGCAAGGAATCTCTAGTCTACTTTCACCTCTAGTTCTTCCACCAGGACTCTTCTTTCCTTCTCTCCTTCAAGGTCAAATTCCTAACCCTTGTCCCATGAAGGCTACCCTTGGAGATTTTACTCCACAGTGATTGATTTATTCTCTGAAATCCTTAGAGACTTGTCGCCTCTCTCCCCATCTACACTAGTCTCTTGGGGTGTGTTTCTACCTAGATTATGGGCTCCTCAAGGACAGGAACCGTGCCCTGGACAGGGGCATCCCTCTACAGCATCAATCTCTGTTCTGGATCCTGATTTCCACTGGAGGTAAGAGAAAGCAGAAGACACTCAGGAAAGATGTCAGGAGATTAACATCTTCCTGTGACACTGGACTGTTGGATAGTGCATTTTATCCTTCCAAAGCATCTAGATTGTGTCTTATGATAAAGTCTAAAAGTTTAATCTTTGTTCAGTAGGCACAACATGTGAAAAATAAATTGCCGTAATTATTATTAGCATATTCTTACTAACAGATTTTTCAGAAGCTGTTTCCATATCAAGCAGATCAACCTTTCTGTTGTCATAGAGACAAAGATCTTTATATAACCATAGGCAAGGTGAGATTTTTTCCCCCTCCTTCCTTCCAGTTGCCTGGCACTAATAAGAAAAAGAAAGAACATTTTTCAAATCAATTTTTTTCTTTTACTTTTTTCCCCAATTAAAATGAGTAAAAATGTTGAAGGCTATATTTTTGTATCACATTTTAGATTTTACATACCTATCTTTTTAATGAAATATATACGGGGAGGAAAGATGTGAGCAATTTGGAAAATGCCATTTTCAAAATTTTCAAGCAGTGGGCTAGTCAGTGATAAGCAATTTTAATCCATGTACCTTTTTTTTTTTTCTTCTTAAACCAAATAGTGAACTTTAGACAGAAGTCTTTGAAGGCAGGGCCTGAAATGACTAAAGCATAAGTTAATCTCTATTGAGGGATAGCTGATGAATTTTAAGGTGCTCAGTGGAATTCACCTTCTCCAATCTTCAGAACCCAGAGTATATATCCCCTCTCTCTGAAGAGCCAGATCCCATAGGTAAATAAAGGCAAGAAGACACCCATCTTCTTCTGGAAGCTTTATCTCATAATTTCAGCTCTCTTCTTTATACATACTCCTGATAACTTGTTATTCATAGCACTTTCCTGTCTTGTAATCATTGTTTACGTTTCATTCATTCATTATAAGAGGATTTCAGCATAACCATCTGCTTTTCCTGTTCTTTGCCTCAATATTATACCTCTACTCCTCTGTCTTCTTTCCTCAGGTCTCAAAACTATCCCCACTCTTTCTAAGATTAATCCTTCCCCTCTGTTCTTAGACTGATGCTCTTCTTCCACCCCCATTGAGATCATACTGCAACAAATAGTATTCCTTCCTCATTCCTTGTATCTTCAGTCTGTCCTTCTCCATGGATTCCTTCCTCTATTCCTCTTTGAAGAAAAAAAAATCTTTCCTCAATTCTGCTTATTTGCTATCTGTCTCTGAGTTTGGGGTTTTAATTTTATGCCTTTTTGCAATAAATAGGTGTTGCGTATATATGTGTGTGTGTGGAGGGGGGATGGGGAAGGTCAGTGTATAGAAAAAAGAAGTTTAAAATATACTTCTTGCTCTCCAAGAAGATTATACCTCCATGAAGAGCAATGCCTTGGTTCTCAAATTTTAATGTGCATCAGAATCACCTAGCTTGTTAAAATGCAGACTGCTAGACACTACCCTCAGAGTGTCTGGTTCAGGAGGTTTGGGCTGGGGCCTAAGAGTATGAATGTCTATTTCCAAGGTGATGTTGATGCTGCTGGTCTAAGACCACAAGGAGAAACAGCGCTTTAAAGTAAGAACTTTCCTATTGGTTCATATGCATCTCTCTTGTCCTATGGATATTGGAGTCACTGTGTTGTGCCAAAAAAGTTATCCTGTTTTGGCCCACATAGGCTCTACCTCCATGGGTCTCTTGCCTGGAAGATAAGATTATCTTTCACTCATCTGATCCTCAGGAAACACGACCTTGTGAGTGCTACCATGCTTGGCTAGGGAGTCTAAATGTCTAGGAGAGGATACTCCTGGTAATAGATACTAACATAGGGCCTGTGGAGGGAGGAAGTCAAGGATTTTCTAGAATCCCACATAGATGGTAAAGAACCAGCTCCTTTTTGAGAACCAGACTTGCTAGCTTCGGTGCTAACTATTGTGCCTATTTCCCACCTCCACCCCCAAACCCTGTCAGCCTATAAAATCTTTTTTGAGGGTTTCTGGGATTCTCTAAATTGTGCTGTGGGACAGCAAGAGTACATGTATTATTTTATTTTTTCATTTCAGCCTTCTCCAGGGAAGGGGTCTCCTCCTGAGACCAGCATGGGTGTGGTAACATGAGCCACTGAGAGATCTCAATGAAAAGCTGAATCCAAAGGAACTAGGACTTGGTCCACCCATTCCTAGCCCCCACCCACAAACGGGGGTTCTCCACTCAGTACTAACTTTGGAGAAGCTGGGAGGTTTTTTTTGTTTGTTTGTTTTTTGTTTTATTTTATTTTATTTTTTTATTAAAGAAGGAGTAATTTTCTTACAAAGACAAGCAAATATAAGAAAGATGATTAATGGATAAAGTCCTGTCTTTGCTACTCAATAGCTGTGGGCCCTTGGGTAAGGGATTCCATCCCTTTGGATTTTAGTTTCTCTTAATCTGTGTGATGAGTATCAGGCAAGTGAGAAAGTCTGTGAGTGGCACAGTCATTCACAGGAGCCACAGGGGAGGCTTGTCAGGGAAGCACAAGGGCTGGAACTTGGAAGGCAGGTTCCATAGATTTGTTGATTGATTGAAACAAATCCTATCAGCATGGTCATCACCTTCAGAGAATGGAGCTGACAAGATAATTAATGGAAACTAATTAATAAAAATCCCTCAGACCTTGAACTGTATCTCTCAACCACAACTATTCCCAGAAGGCCATTAACTCTTCCACAGGGAGAAGCCAAGCCCAGTGGGAAGGGTGAGTGCTGTTTATGACGTGGTGGTCCCTTTTCTTCCTCAGCATAGAATTCCATCCTCTCTAGGGGTTAGAAGGTCATGAAGACCTCCACCAGCCTGGTGCCTTTTGATACTCTTCCCCTCCCCCCCTTCTTTTCTTTCCTTTTCTCTTTTAACAGCCTCATTGAGGTGTAAATCGCATAACATAAAATTCACCCATTTAAAATGTACAGTGAGATGGTTTTACTATGTTCACGTACAACTGTCACCACAAACTAATTTTAGGAAGTTTTCATCACCCCCAAACTCACACCCATTAGCAGTCATCCAGTCGCCCCCCCTCCCCGCCCCAGCCCCTGGTAACTACTAATCTACTTTCAGTCTATCCAGACATTTCATATAAATAGAATCATATAATAGGCAGCACCTATTTCTAAACAGAGGAAAGGAGACGTGGTGACACTCCGGTACACTAGCACCAACGGCCTCCTTCTGCCCTTTATCCCTTCACTTCAGGAAACAGCTCCCTCCACCTGCTTGCTGATGTGACGTTCCCTTTATCACGTCTGTGAGTGTGGAGGTGGTCCCAGCAGTGGGACACGAGGCCTTTCGTTGATTAGACAATTAGATCGAAGTGCAAGTGCCTCTGGGGTCACTGAGAGGCATGCGGGCACTGGTTGGGGGAGGTGTGCCTAGCAGACCCAATGACAGGTCAGGTTGCCCCTGGCCGTAGGGCCTGACACTCCATTCCTACAGGTCCGCAGGGTGCCAGAGCCTACAGTAAGCTATGCCCACCTGGATGGCCCAAGGCTCAAAGGCACCTAGAGACCGCTGCTGGCGGAGGAGCATCACACCCCGGTCCCCTTCCAGCAGTGCAGAGAGCAAGGCCTTCTCCTGGGGCTTCTGAGCACTTCCACGGCCCAGGGGGAAAGAGCAGGTGCGGGGCTGCCAGGGGCACGGGCTGGCAAAGGCAGCCCCCGAGCTTTCGGTTCCCATCACCCCAAAGGGCGGGAAGTTTGCTAGGGGGAAGCGCCCAGGCAGAGGGGGCTGAAAGACAGGCAGGGGCGGTGGAGCGGGGCGAGGGAGGGCCCCGTGGAGGGGCGGCGGCGGCGCCCGTACTCACAGTCGGCTGAGGCCGGCCCGCGGCCCGGGGCAGCGCAGGGCGCCGTCGGGGGGGCAGCTGCAGGGGCCGGGGCA